CTCTCTCTCTCTCTATATATATATATATATATATATATACTCCAGCCTCATTCCAATTGCCCGCCCGCCCTCTCTCTCTATATTTGGCATTTTATAACTCCCGCCTATTTCTCTCTCCTCAGCGGCATCTAAAAATTTTATTTTTAAAAAAAATTGTTGGCTCTTTAGTCCCACACTGACTGGATTTAAATTATTATGCTAGATAAAAGCAAATTTATGTTTTACTATTTTGAAAGTTGGAACAGTATGGCTGAACCAATTGTTGTTGTTTTGGTTGAATACTGAAAAAGGTCGTTCATTTTGTCAGTGGGGGTCCGTGCCCCCAGGGCCCCCACTATAGATCTGCCACTGCTTGTGATACTATGACAATGTGGTATGTTATTGCCTCATTCCTCCTACTCTCACCTCTTCCATAATGAATAGTCACTTCTCTTCCTTCTCACAGCCTCACCGACCTTCTATTAAATTATTTCCTCTTTATAATCATTATTTTGTTGTCACTTTATGGGCTCCGAAATCATGGGCCTCAGCCTCTCCGCGGCCTCTTTCTTTCTTCGATCGTCGAGGAGAGTTTTAATGTTTAAGTTTCAAGACAATTTTTCAAAAGGTATATTGGGTTTTGAATAAGACATTACCAAGAGATTTCACCCTCATTTATGAGGACTTTATTATCTAAATTATGTTTTTTGATAGGCGCAAGCCTTTATAGTTACTTACCCCTCCCAATAACGAGAGAGAACTTTCGATTAAGGCTACTCGTCAAACAGATACATAGTATCCACATTTACATAGGATCTAGCGTATAGTAGCAACATAATTTAGTATTTGAAAATTTAATATTTAAAATTAGAAATTCACCACCTTGCACTTAAAAGCGGATGGTGGGGAATTTATGATAGACTCAATCAAGATCCCATGGTTTCATCGTCCTAAGCCATCATGGTCCATTGTTCCTTAGTCAAAGGAGGTAGTCAACCCAACCTGACAAAAGGATTCTTGTTAGCATCCATGGTTTGCTTTGTCTAAGGGTACCTTGTAGACATGGAGTCAATATTTGCTTTAGGGGACGTATTTGAATCTAACTTAACTTAGAGAGGGCTTTATGCCCTATCTATCATATCCCATGGACTCATTGCTCAATAATTTAACATATTTGGACAACATATGGGCTCTGACCAAGACCGAAATTCAATAGTGTCATTTGGGGAAAAAATCACCTGGTCAAAGGATCCCGACCATAATTGTTTACCTATGATGCAATTTGATGATGATATTGTTGGTTAAAAGACAAGTGTCATGTACTTACTAGCAAGAGATGGATTCATAATAAATCTTGATGATATTCTCAACCAAAAATTTGCTCTTTGTGAGCTGAAGTGATTTCCTAACTTGTCCAACCTAGTAAGCCATGATGGAGGTTAGATGAATTTTACTCTAAGTATTTTGGTGTTTTTATTTCAATTTTAAATATTTAGGTTTTAATAACTTTTGAGCTTTAAATTTTTATAGGAATTTGAGAGGCATTTTCAAATATTTGGAATCCCTCTGATTCGGATTTGCTCTCAACATGGTCATCAATGGGGATGCCTATAGGCAATTTTTATTTTGTTGGTCGAACCTTGTCTACTCTATCGACTTGAAAACAAAGGAACGGGTTTGTTGCTGGCTTTATATCTTTATTAGTGATTTTTTTCTTATTATAAGCCTTGAAGGTCTAATATGAACGTATAAAATAAATATCCTGGTTAGCACTATAGCCATACATTTATTTAATGGTTTGAACCATGGCAATTCATATGTATTCATATAAAAGGATCGGACTTGAACTTAAGTTTATTGTTTGACCCGTGCAGCATCCTCAAACGTCATGTATTTGCATAATATATGCTCATCGGGGCCCTTACGGGTATTTAATTATATATATTTCCATATGCCATTTTTGCACGCTTGCATGCGTACTTATACCTTTGCCTATATGTTAATATATTATTATATGAACTTATGTATTTGTACATATGCATGTATATTGGCATTTTACATTTTGCATATTGTTTAATCATATTTGTATGGTATGTTGATATTAAGCACAGTGGGTTAATGAATTAACGTGGTGTATAGTAAATTTGCATGATATGCATGCATATGACATTTTTCGTTTATGCATTTACTTTATAATTCAATGTTTTCATGATGTGTTTGCATGTCAGTACAATGTGTTTCCACTACACAATGCATTTTACATGTTGGGTGCCATTTTTGCATAATACATTTTATATATTATTGTACATACATGCATGATGCATTATGCATGTTAATGCAATATGACGTCAAAGTGTAGCGTATTTTGTATGGTTGGTGATGCATTTATATGATGCATCCTACATATTGTAAATGTGCACATGCTATGAACTTGTCGGTATGCATTTTGAGCATGAGGGGCATATTTTTTGTGGCATGTAGCTATGATTAGTTACATAATTCAATTTAAAAGCCTATAAATACCATCTATCCATTTGTACCAATGTTATGAATTCGGTGCAATATGCAATGTGTTTTCATACGGTGTTTGTGGATTATTGGCAGCCATAACATTAGAGAATAATACATGGCGAATAATAGTTCATGCCTTTAGAGCAAATGCCTCAGCAATCTTAAGCCTCTCCTACAATACCCTATCAATCTTTATGGGATTATAATCCATCAAAGGTTCAACAATAAGGTATCAAAGTCTAATTAAACCAAGGACTCGGCTGATACAATATTAGATTTCATTGTCTTCAATTTTTCACAAGATAGTCTCCTGAAGCATGAATAGGATAAAGAACAAGATAGTTTTCAGTATCCCAATGACAATCTAGTATCTGATGCACATGGAATGTGGAAGCATCTCCTACAGCCCTTGACATAGCAACTAGGAGTAACTCCCTTCAACCTGTACCTGTAACATTTCATCTTAGAATAACGTAAAAGTTCAACCCCGATATTCATAACTTCCTTATTGGGATAACATACTTGAGGATCCAATTTTATACATTTATGATGTACATGAAGGACATTAAGTTGTGAGGCTTGTTCTTTATATATTTATTTTCCATTCAAATAATGTAACATCTCTTCTGAAGCCTTGATATTTTTAAGGGAATGATATAATATACAAGTCTCAATGGTACTTCTATCTAAATAAGATTTGGTATGCCCTCCCATCGAGACATTTTTTCAACTA